AAGTATTTTTTCTATAAATCGGACCAGACTATTTCCATTGGCTGCTGCTCATGATACAGATAGACTTCACAGAGCGTATCCATGCACTCATTTCTATCGGTTGCTGCTGGTGGCATGTAGGGTTGTCTTAGAGCATCTTCACTCATTTCTATTGACTGCTGCTGGTGACACGTAGGGTCTTCAAAGTGCAGTTAACTCCACTTCCTATTGGCTGATGCTCATGGCAAAGAGGGCCTCCTCAGGGCATCTCCGCTCATTTTTGGCTGCTTCTGGTGGCAGATAGGGCCACCTTAAAGCGTCTCCACTCATTTGTATTGGCTGCTGCACATGCACAGATGGACTTCGCAGAGAATCTTCACTCGTTTCTATTGGCAGCTGATGGTGGCACACAGGGCCTATACAGAGCGCCTCTACTCCATTTTGTTGCTTCTGCTGGTGACAAGTAGGGACTCTTCTGAGCGTCTCCGCTCTTTTCAATTAATTGCTCCTTTTCCATCATATACATCTAGCCCCTATCTTCTCAATTTCAACATATGATAGCCTCTTCTCTTTTTTTGTTCTTATATTTGCGCAGCGTTACAGTCACTGGTAGGATCTCATTAAAATTTGTGTTCATAAATTTCCATCATCTCCCATCGGTCTCCCATATGTGTAACATGTTTTCACTTCTCATTCTATTATTCCATTTTGTCTTCATTATTTTTCGTCAGCATTTGATCTACAATGTTTCTATTATCCTGGTGTCTCCTTTGTTCATCTTTCATGTTACACCTAAAAAGTACTGCTGCATGATAGCGGCGTTTTTGTATAGTTTAATTTAGTTGTCTTTTGATGGCATTGCTTTTTTGTATCTCTGAAATCTTATAAAGAAATTCGTTGCTATGGAGAACCAACAATATCTGCTTCATTTGACATCATAATTGTCCCTCCTTCCCTACGAATGCCATCATCTTTACAAGGAACATAATCCTTGTCGCGTCACCTAGTTGCACTTGTCCCTGACCAACTTAGTGGGTCTCACTTGTTTTTGTGACTTCTTTTTTTCAACTCTCTAAATTCCAATATGGCATTGCTTTCCTGGTACACTGTGTCAGTTCCAGGTCCATCGTCGCAAACCACGTCCAAAATGTACGATTCTTCCAAGTCTGGTAGGAGATAGCTATAAGCGAACTCCGAACCCTGGCTTGAGATTTCGGGTTTCTGTTTCTGTAACCGGAATCTTTCTATTTTTCATACTTCACAGGCATTAGTCCAACGCACAGCCTTCTACCTGGAGAGTCAGTTTTTTCTGTCTATAGTTTATAATCCTTTCTCTATCATACATTAAACACACATTCGGTCGACATTACCCATGTTTGGAATCCATGCACCAATCACTGGAGGAGGTCTGTAAAGTTTGAAACAAGTATAGTAGAGTGCGGCTAGCACATACTGTAAACCAACTTTTATTCGCGTGCGAAAAATTTTCGCGAAGTTCGCTAGAGCCTCGTCATCGCGAATATTTCTCGCCGCGAACCGGGACTCAAAGTCTATGTGTCTATTAACAACAGATCTAAAATAGTCTTGATCGCGAAAATTAATCGTCACGAACAAGTTAACCCCCGTCAAATCGCGAAATAAAGTCGTCGCGAATAAAAGTTGGTGTACATGATATGTTCCTGTTGTTCTGTTTGTACTGCTCGCTCGATTTGGTACAGAGTCCATCAAGATGTCCCAAAGGCTTCAGGGCTCTTCTGAGCGCCAGAAGAGCTACTTTTGAATTTTGTTCCATTTTAGCCTATTTGAAAACAATTGAGTACAATTTTAACAATCCTTAATTGTCTCGCATCAAAGATGTCGATCGTAAATTCTGGTCGAGGAAATCCATGTCACCAATAAAAACTTAACTATATCACATTGGTCTTTTATGTTGTTTTCCATAAACGTATTCATTTATCTAATTTTGTGTCGTTCCAACATGCAACAATCTTTTTTGTGCATGTTCGTTAACTTCTATTGGCCAGTGGGCCGCATAGAACTCCTGACCAGTACTTTGTGATGTCCATTTGTAAAGTTTAGTGAAATATTTTTATCATGGGTAAAAATTTCAGTTTACGACTTAACCTGTGATTGCTGATTGGTCAACTTTGGAGGTTAATTTCAAGCAAATAAAAAAAAAGAATTGCATCAAAAACTAAATTTGAAAAATCTAGACAAATATACGATAGAAAACAACTTAAGTACATCGATTTTTAAATGTGACTTTTTTCCCGGAAAATTATTACTAGTATCTCCTATAGGTCAAATCTTTTGTAATTCCGAATACATCCTTAACTTCAAAATATAAAATTTCAATCCAATATTTTCATGATTTTCACAGAAATCCTTATCGAATATTGTACCTCTCCAATTATTGTCTAGATTTAAATGGTTTAACATTAACAAATGGAAATGAAATAAGCTGCTTAACAGTTAATGTACCGCGGTCTTGATCTGAACCTCTGACACATAATTTATCAGAAAAAGTTTAAAACTGAGAGTACGAAAGATAACTCTCACAAATAATTCGTTTTCCATCTTTTGCCATGCAGTCCGTAGAAAGGAATTTCTTTTTTTTCTGTTGGATAGAGGAGGGGGGGGGTGTACAGCCATACATTTTCAGTAGGGGCACTTAAAACTTTTCAATATTAATTGCCAGGGGCGTAGCCAGGGTACTTTTGATGTGGACGTCTGAAAAGGCTTTTGCCATGTGGTGGGGGCCGAGGGGGTGAAGCCCCCGGAAGCTGATGAATTTTCGACGATTTCGATCTGCATATTTGAGCCTTCTGATAGCATTTTTCTTACACTTTTTCAGTTTGTTACGCAGCCACATTTGAGGTCTGTTCTTTTCTTGTACAAAATGCGGACAAACACTCAAAAATGAGAAATTAAATGTCGAATAGGGTTGTTTGTCGAACCCACTAAAACAATTTCAGACTTTTGAAGGTCGACAAACTACGTATGGTAACATACGGTTGTTGGTTAGAGTAGTTGACTGGTTTAGACAGACCTGATAGTCAGGCTCACATTAATGTTAAAGATACACCTCTAAAGATTGAAAATGAAAAAAGACAAAAGAATTCTTTTCAACTCATTTTCTTGCAGATTATATATGTTTATTGTCTACATTTTAAAATAAATGTTCAAAAATATTCACAATTCGGGTATCTAACTTTTTGCAACAATAATAAAACATGTAAAAATACTATTGGTTTTAAGGTAGTTTAACATATTTTTTTAAGGTTAAACTGAATTTTATCAATTTTTTTTTTCAATTTTTGATGTTCATAAATAAGGCTGAATTATGATTTTTGAAGTCTCGCATGAATCCGATATAAGGAGATAATTATTTTTTAGGGGGTATCGTTACAGAAGTTCGGCATTATGGTTGGAAGTTCATTTCCAGTAATAGAAATTGAAAATCTTGGCATTTAAAGAATCATCGTTTGTTTTACATTACTGGGGTTTTATTGTGTGAAATACTCAGCAATATTCTATAGTATAACGAGGGCTGTTCGGAAATTATTGAGACAATTACAGTTATACTTCATAAAGGACGGAGATAATTTCATGAAAATTCATCAACATTTTATAACGAACTAATAAAACTCTTATGCAAATTTTCTAATTCCTATGATAATTAGATAAGTTTCGGTGAAATATTAAACATGCATATGTCTATCGACCCGGAGCAGCATCGCTACGTCATTTTACGTCAGTCGGAGATGATTTCGCATGTGAAACGACCGGGAAGCCTTCAATACTTTTCCTCCTTTGTTATTACATATAACCAATAAAAAAAAAAAAACTCAAACAGTCTCTTTTCTTAAACTACACTTTAAAAATATATGCTGTTGCTAACCCAGTGTAAATGTTTCATTTGTGGGAAAGGTTGACTTATAGCATCATGCAGTGCCGATTTATGCAACGCGGATCAACGTTATTAATAGCGTAAACGATAAATTAATATCGTAACGTAATAACTGATGGTCGTCCAGAGCTTTTTTACTCTGGTTGAATTAATTATAAAAAAATGTCTACCAATAAAATAACAAACCCTAACACATTATTTTTTCCGTTGTTATTGTCTTAGCCGGTAGTTTATCAATCTGGAAAAGAGTTCTACATTGCACTACACAAAATCTTAGGTGTGCTCCTGCTCCGCCCTTGACGTCAAAATTCATATTGTCGTTGATAACTGATTTCTCTACCGCGTTAGATTTTTTATGATTTTCGTATTTCTGATCAAAATTCTAAGAAAATTGCAGAGGATGAATTTGAAATAAAGCTGAAAAATTATACACATAAACTGAAATATTTTTAGTATATTTATAGTTCAAATAAAAATTTTTTCATTTTAAAAAATTAATTTCTAAAAAAAATGCTGAGTACGCTTTAGAATATTCTCTTTCGCTCTCTTTCTTTATGTTCTTCTTTTTTTTTTTTTTTTGAAAATGATGTGGACGTTTGTGCGTACAAACGTACGCCTGGCTACGCGCCTGATTGCGTATCGGAGCATATCTTTAGATGTTTCCTCAGTCTTTTTCTTTTTTTCTTCCAAGTTTTTTAGTATCTCAAGTATAAATATAATTTATCAATTTATATGTGATCAAAATCAACATGATCAAGGGAAATATAATTATATTTCTGAAAAAAAGAGAACTTTACAATGACAGCGGTTAAATTGCCATCAGAAGACATGGATCAATAGAAAAAAAAATTAAATTAGTTTAACTGATCATATAATTTTTTTTCATATATATGTGTAATAGTGCCTTTTCAAAAAATATATATATATATACTATATGTGCCTTATTTAAAGTGGATTTTAAATTAAGAAGTCACACCTCATAATACGAATGTTTTAACGATTTAAATTATATCATATTTCATTGGTACATACATTAAATTTATAAAGTATTTCGCAAAAAATATTATTGTGCATCAAGTCTATATAATTATTACATATATATATATTGCCCATTACTCCCCTCCCCCCTTCTCTATTTCTGCAAGTTGAGACGAAATCCCGTAAGCTTTGGGTTTTTGCGGGATAATGACGTCACGAATTTGAAATTCATCATGGCGGACGTATGCACTAGGTTTGGTAGGTCTGCTAATGTTTTATGGTTTATTTCAGTATTTCGGTGTGCAATTAAACAGTTTTGAGTATAATTAATAATTTTCAAATCTAAAGAAATGCATTTTATAAGAGATCGGCCGTGATTTTAATAAATTCAACTGAAATAAATGCACCAAGTTGACGGACAAAAATGTCATTTATGGAAACCTTCGGTCATTGTTATAAAAAGCAATGGAGAATCTGAACCTTCTTGTATATGTTCCTGGTTATACATCCATTTATATCTGGTAATAAATATGGCGTCCATGTGTAAATCAACCCTTGTGATGCTTGTTTACTGACTGCTGTTTATTGATAAACAAATTATGCCATCAGACCATCGTGGCATTATCGGGACTTCGATCAGTGATTCAAATTCAATAAGTCTCATAACCAGAACAGTGTTTGGATTTTTTTCCACCAAGACTTACATTTAAGCATGTTTTTGAAGGGGTAGAAATTGACATCGGTGTTTTTTATTGACCTCTTTTCATGATATTATTGAAACTAGGTCACATGAAGACTGTGTCCATTGTAAGAATATTCTTGTTATACAGTGTTATATATGGATAATTTAACAAGTTTGGAATGCATTTGTAATATATTAAACTCACCAAGTATAATTTTTGAATCATGTTTATAATACAGTGATATTGATAATGACAGATAAACAATGATAAAAGGCTTAATCACATGTTTATTTATATGTAAAGATAGTCATAGTTAGATATGGAATGTATACATATTTCCTGTTAAGATAAAAAAAAAAAATCTGCATTTTATTTTTTTTCTTGTTGCAGATAATGTCACTACCTTTTAAGCTCGACCTCTTGGGAAAGAAATCAAAAACTTGTGTGTTAGATAATTTCATTGAAAATAACCCTACTCTCTAGGGCCCTCTTGCCCATTCTTTTATCTATTGACTTTTCAAATCCTTTTCCAAAATGACGACTTTGGATAACTTCCTTCCCAATGTCACCACCCAGGACACTCGGAAGAGGATTCAGGCCCACCAGGACCTCATCCCCTACCTGAGTGACCCCCACAGCTCCCTCAACTGTCCTGAGATGGATGAGTTCATTGGGGGGCTTGTTGGATGGGTCAACTGCTCAAACTACAAGGTAATTAAAAAGGGGATTAAAAATCAGATTTATTTATGTTCATGTCTAAGTGCTTGTGCATACTTGTACTGCTTGAAAGTATGTTTTTATTAAGGTCAAAAGTATGATCTTTTCAACCGTTTTCATCGTGATATTATCAGGTTTAAGGTCCTTGCTTATAAATATAACTGTTTCATGCATTTGATATCCTTTTCAACTGTGCGTGTTTCTTGTCAACACCTGATAGTTATCAGATTTTTAGGTCATTATTGTGTGTAAATATAAATGTTTCATGCATTTGATATCAAACAGTAATATTGTGTATTGGACTAAGATTTTAACACTTTAAAGTATACGCCGTTTATTTGTATGTGAAACAAAATGATTAAATGATTTGAAACACATAAAGTGTAATGAAAAAATAATATTTCCACAAAATTTAACTATAAAACTCGTTGTAATAACAGACAATAAAGCAATATCTGCAATGCACTTTTCATGAATATTGATAAAGGAAGTCCAGTTCAACCTCTCTGTGTGTAAGAGATAAAAGGTTAATATGAAACAGAGTATAGCTGGTTGCTACTGATTACATTTAAAGAAAGTTATATTAAATAACACGCCATCCATGTCAAAAGTGAGTTGTAAAAGAACACTGTTTGTTTATCAATCAGGCTTAACAAAAAGTAATGGATAATAAATAATTATAATTTGATAACTTTATAACTTTTATTTAAAGATTTACAGCATTTTCGTAACTTTTATTGGTAAACAAAATATATAAATTTCCAGCCGTATTTTAAAATGGCGCACGTTATAGCGTATATTACTTTAAATGCTCACTGTCTGTTACATTCTGTTTCAGTACTACGTTTTACAGACTAAAAATGTAATGAAGTATAGGCTTTGTACACTATACAGATTTGTGACCAGTACATACTGGTATACATTTAATCCTGACCTTTTGACCTGTAGACTGATTACTCTCCAAAATTATCATTCAGAGAAATAATTGAAATGAATCAATGGATCACCCAACCCCTTTGGATTTGTGTATTGGTACATGTATGCAAATGACATTCATGTGTATTTCATGCAGCAAAAAATGCTTTATTAATAGCTCCTGTGTACACTGTTTGCATACTTTGGAGGATTATGTATGTAACGTGACATTGAATGATCTAAGAGATTTAAGCACATTGACCATTTAAACAGGCTTTTGTTTCATCTGTTATTATTCTGTACTGTACCATGTATACTGAAAGGTTTACTTTAAACCCAGACCTGTTTGTAAATGACTCAATATTCAGACTCGTTCAATCCCTTAGGTAGACACAGGCACATATAGATTGTTTGTTGATGACAAGAAACAATGTTACCTGCTTATTTTATCCCCCGACTTGTCTCTGTTTTAGTTTCATAATCATGTTTTCAGTTTTTACAAACACACAATACAGAAACAAAAATATTTTTTTCCTCCTCCATGTAACATATTTTTGTTGTTAAACCAGGGATATCAATGTTTTTGAACAATTGTTTTTATTTGGTCCTAGGATTAAAAGAAAATATATGTAACATGATACCGTTATCAACCATATCATATTCTATAATTGTAAAAATAGACTATATGATATTAAAAAATAAAGTGATTCTTTATATATTGTAGATTTCAGCTAAGTTATTACTGTCATGATCATCAATATGCTATTAACATTTGTACCGGTACTTCCTATTCTTATTTATGGCTTTTAGAAGATGGAACTTGAACATTTCTTCATGTTCTTGGTACCATTTATTTCAGATTTCTTTGAATGGCCTAGAAGTATTGTGCCTGATGGTTGATCGTATGGGAGAAGATTTTAAAATCCATGTGTCCTCTGGTTAGTAATATTAAACAGATTTTTAAAGTCCACATTTTAGTTTAGGTCTACATGTACTTTTATTTTCATGTATGCATATTCTGTGTACATGCTTATGTTGTAATATTTCATTTTTAATACTATTAACCATAGAAAGTCCCAGAAGCCAAATGCATGTTCACTTTTAATATTGATTAATTTCTGTATGCAGGTATGCATGAGTAGGTATACATGTAATTTTCCTTGCCAAGACCTCAAACATGCACCAAGTAATAACGAGAAATGCTGATAGTTGTAATATTATGAAAGTTTCATGTGTTTAATGCATTTGGGCCCCAGGAAAACAATTAAGCAAAGAATGCCGATAGTTTCAGAGAAGCATTGATTTTCTACTGATGCTACCCAGGAATGATTTACAATTTTTATGCTCATTGATCTGCAGTTTTTGCTGCAGCCTGATATTGAGAAGGAAAAGCTTAATCTGTGTTTGTGTATCCTTCTACCTGCTATTTGATGATCATGAATTATTGTTTTTGTCTTTTCAGTTATACCTGCTGTGGTAGATCGATTAGGTGACGCAAAAGACCAGGTATGAAAAAACACACAAACAGGATGAAAAACCACACGAACATATTACATAATGCATTTATATCTTATGTAATGCAATGCACCACATGCATTTAGGCAGTTTATGTCCCTGTAAACTCTTGAGTAATTCAATGGCAAGTGGATAATTAAATATTTCTAAGGAGCTTATTTAGATAAACAATGAAAGTAATGTCAGGGCCATGAGAGATAAATCGTAAAAATCCTCTGAGCTTGATTTCCTGTTTGTAGCAATAATTTTTTTTTTAGCTCACCTGAGCCGAAGGCTCAAGTGAGCTTTTCTGATCACATTTTGTCCGTCGTCCGTCCGTCCGTCTGTCTGTCCGTCTGTAAACTTTTCAGATTTTCGACTTCTTCTGAAGAACCACTCGGCCAATTTTGACCAAACTTGGTACAAAGCATTCTTATATGAAGGGGAATTTAAATTGTGAAAATGAAGGGCCAAGTCCCCTCACAAGGGGAGATAATCAAGAAAAGACAAAAATAGGGTTGGGTCATTAAAAAATCTTCTTCTCAAGAACCACTATTGAAACTTATATGGAAGCATCCTGGGGTAGTGTAGATTCTAAATTGTAAAAATCATGACCCCCGGGGATCCACAGTGGGGAATCAAACTTTTACATAGAAATATGTAGGAAAAATCTTTAAAAATCTTCTCAAGAACCACTGGGCCAGAAAAGCTGAAACTTATGTGGAAGCATCCTTAGGTAGTGCAGATTATAAATTGTTAAAATCATGACCCCCGGAGATAGGGCGGGGCCACAATAGGGAATCAAAGTTTTACATAGAAATATATAGGAAAAATCTTTAAAAATCTTCTTCTCAAGAACCATTGGGCCAGAAAAGCTGAAACTTATATGGAAGCATCCCAGGGTAGTGTAGATTCCAAATTGTTAAAGTCATGACCCCCGGGGGTTGGGCAGGGCCATAATGGGGGATCAAAGTTTTACATAGCAATATATAGGAAAAATCTGTGAAAATCTTCTTCTAAAGAACCACTGAGCCAGAAAAGCTGAAACTTATGTGGAAGCATCCCGGGGTAGCGTAGATTCTAATTTGTTCAAATCATGATCCCCGGGGGTTGGGCGGGGCCACAATGGGAAATCAAAGTTTTACATAGAAATATGTAGGAAAAATCTTCTTCGCAAGAACCACTGGGCCAGAAAAGCAGAAACTTATGTGGAAGCATCCTGGGATAGTGTAGATTCTAAATTGGTCTAATCATATCACCCCCGGGGGTAGGGCGGGGCCACAATGGGGAATCAGAGTTTCACTATGTTGAATCAAAGCATCCTATGGTAGTGTAGATTTCAAATTGTTTAAATTATGGTCAGTTGGGTAGGGTGGGGTCACAATGTGTATAACAAGGGGAATCTGGTAAAGAACGGAATGTTCAAAGCTTCTCAGGTGAGCGATGTGGCCCATGGGCCCCTTGTTTTACATTAGTGTATCTTGGGGAGGGTACATATTTGGAGGGGGGGGGAGAAAATAAATGTGTTTATAATTCATGTTAATGAATGTCATTTTTTTTACTGATTTCTCACTGATACAGTGATCTTTGAAAGTGCAAAGTCTGTGTCTTTAAATGCAAAAACCTCACAGTGTCTTTAAATGCAAAAACCTCACAGAAAGAAAGAAAAATGGTAATGCAGTGTACAAAACTTTCTTCCTGTTTCTTCTCTTGTTTAATTTATAGAAAATAAAAGAAGACAGTTTAATTAGAAAATAGAAGGTAGAATAACATAGCATGTAGATTTCAGATGGCCTTGGCACTGTATGTAAAAGTCATTAATTATTACTGTGTAAACTTTGTTAGAACTTTCATATGAACATCAAAGACTTGTAATGATTACTTAAAAACAACCATTGACTCTTACACTTTCCTTGACAGGTGCGAGAAATGGCTCAGCAGTTGCTGTTAAAATTGATGATGCCAGCAACTTCTCCTCAGGTAAGTGTGTTCAAGCATGGTGGGGTGAAATGCTGTTCATCCATGTGTGGTTATGTGAAGTTGAATGCAACCATGTGTGTTGAACCGTTGCATATATAATTCTATACATGCCCAGTTCCAAGTTAGATTGACAAGTAGTATGAATATTTTATCTTTTAGTGCTTGAAAAAAAAGTATTGTGTTAATATAGTGTAATGAAAACAATCAAGCTTTTGAAAGACCTATGCTTCCAAATACAAGATTTTGTAGAAGCACAACTTTTATCATGTTTATAATGTTTAAGTTACAATCCTGATGCAACAGAGTCATATTTATTAATCTGGATACTTGTGTTCCTAAGCAAATTGTTCAGATTGATGCAACATCCTCATTTCTAACTGCTTTATTGAATGCCTCAAAATTAATTTTGTACATGTTGTAGTACTTATATTTTCTAAGAGAATTGAGAATATCACTTTTTTGCAACCCTTGGTTTCCAATATGTTGACTCGTAGCAACTTTTTATTAAATAATAAATTTAAGAAAAGTACAAACAATTGTAACTTTGATAATCTTTATAAATATCACCAATTAGGGTTATTGTTCATGTAGGAACTATGAGAAAGAGACACCTGCATAATTACAATAGGTGTAAATTACGTGATATTTTATTTTTCTTTGCAGTTTGTTTTTGACAGAATCCAGAGTGCTTTCTCACACAAACTCTGGAGAGTCCGAGATGAAGTGTTAATTTGTCTACAGAACACAATAAACACGTAAGTACATGTACATGTGATCCTTTGTCATTTCCCAATGCCCTTGGCAAGTGCTATTTGAATTCTAATGAAGAACAAGCAACATGTTTATTTACTTCTTTTAAGGGTTAATTTATTGTATCAGTTTGTTTTCCTGTATAACAATTTTGCTGTTTTTGCAAAGTTTGTGTTTACTTAATATTACATTCAGTGTATTAAATTACGCTTAATAAGTTAAAATAATTAAAAGGTCTTTGTATTTATTAAAGTAATATCCACAAAAATTTAATTGTCTGGTTTGAAGTAGCCTGTAGTTGTTTATTTAGTCAGGGGTTCAAAATTTTTTTTGTCATGGTCAAGTCCAGGACTTGAAGAGTAAATTTTAGGCAAGTCCGAGGAAGAAATTTCAGAGTCCATATTTACCTATACATCATTAAATTTATGTAACTTATAATTTACTTTCATTTGTTGCATTGAATGAATAAAGACTATGTGTATTAATATATGTTTTATTTTTCCTCCATAAACTGTCATATAGTCATATATGAGTATTTCAACACAATACCAGACTGATAGATTACTGGTAGATTACAATAACTTTTACAAATACTCACTACTGAATAAACCATCTGTTACAATAAATAGAAATTAGAATGTGCTGCAAGTCACAGCTGTAACCGAAATTTAACAAACTCATTGCCGCTTGTCATAAAGGAGGAAACATGAGGAATTGCGTAAAAACAAGAGTCTAACCGCAACGGAAAATAATTGTTGGTTCGAAATGTTTTATGGGTATTTTATACAAACCCACATTTTTACTTAATACATTTGAGAATTTGCTTTATTTTTAGCTTTACGATCATTTTTTTAATTTATAAAAAAAGATAAACAAGAAACATAGCCAAGTCCCAGGACTTTGGCGATTAAATTCCGGATCGTTTTGTTAGTCCGGGACGTCGGGCTTGAGGATTTTTGAACCCCTGATTTAGTGCATGCACACTTGATTGCATGGATACATGGAAATTGACTTTTACAGGTACGGTGCCAGAAGTCTTCAGCTGTCTAAAATAGTGCCCTCCATCTGTAAACTCCTAGATGATCAAAATAGTCAGGTAAACGTCCAGAAGAAAATACGGAAATAAAAGTGTTATTGATATCAGTGTTAAACACCTCAGTTTATGTTAATTTTATGGAATGACATATGGTCATTGAGCATTTAAACCTATCTGCAATAATTGTTGGTGAAGGTTTAGATTATATGACCACTCTTTATTGCTAGAATAATATACATAGCCAGTTCTTAGTATTCAGGACATTAACAGAACTCAGTGTATTAGCAGTAAATGTTTTTGATGCAATCAGCTGTGAATTGCTTTGACATTAGAATTCTACATGATACATGTAACTTAACATACTTAATGGAGAAACTGTCTCTTAAACAAAGTTTGTCCATCTTATGCCCTTTTACAATACTATAAATTCTTAAAAGTTTTGACTGAAAGGTTAACATCAAAGAAGAGAGTGCAATGTCTTGTTGATGATTATAAATAATTCACAGAATTGGGGTTTTCTAGGTCATGTTTATGTTAATGAAGTATTAGCTTCTTATTTTATTGTTCTGATAGAAATTTATTGAATTAAAACCTATATCTGTCTGATTGTAATTGATGCAGTGCTCACCAATGAATTTTCCATGCTCTATAAATTTCACTTCAATGAGAAAAGGTCAGCTATAAATTTTGACATCTTGTTTGAAGTTTTGACCTGTTAATTTACAGTAGTATATAAAGTTATGCTTGTGATTCATTTTTGTGATGTAAATTTCTGTGAAATGTACGCTGTATATTACCACAGGTGAGAGAGACAGCTATAATGACCCTGGCAGAAGTGTACAGGCATGTGGGTGAAAGAGTGCGGCAGGATCTAGCTAAAAAAGGAATACCCCCACAGAGGTAAAAGAACTGAACAGAAAATTAAGCTAATTAAATACTGGATTAATTAAATAAAAACATGCAGAAAACTCAGAAATAGAAAAATTGGATTTTTGTCATTGCTATCTGAAAAGAAAGTCATTTTAAAACAGTTTGTTCTCAGATTTTCAGTTCTCCATCATATAAAATAAATGTTGCTCCAGTATTTGGAAATAAATCATAAAAAATTATATAAATGTGCTGCCTGAACACATGCATGCAGGAATTTGAAAGGGTTTATTTTCCAGTACATAACTCTGAAGAAGGAATATAATTTGTCTGAAGATTGGGCTAGATTTATACATGTACATATATTTTATTGGGAAATAAAGGATTTTCAGACTTGATTATTTTTTAAGAATTATTTGTTTTTATCTTTTATCCTGAACATTTTTTTAAAATTCTGTTTTGCAGACTTAATCAAATCTATGCAAAGTTTGATGAAGTAAAAAATTCTGGTGGTATGCTAGCTACGGCAGATTTTGGTGAGTACCGTAATAGATTTAATGATAAGACTCATTGGTCATATAGATAACCAGGCATTCTAATGGTTGTTTGTTCAAATCCCAGTTTTTCACCTTCTACTGTTTGTTGAGTGGTAAACGTGGATGTTCAACAGATTTTTCCAAGTTAATCTGGCTGAATGAGTACAATTTTAATGAAGAATCATCTTGAAGTGAGCTAGAGTTTCATGAGTTGTAAGGCTTTCCACAACTATTCAGTGAATTTAAGTATTGGCCATTTTAGTCTGTCTACAACACAGAGAGATTTTATTTGCAGGCAAAATTGCAAATGCAGGGCAGAAAAAATTGAAAGAGGTGTCTTAAATTAGTTTTAACAAAGAAGTATTTTAATCAACACAAGAACCATAATTTTGCTCAATTATTCACATTTTGCATTTGCTGGTATATACAGCATGTAAAATGGAGATACACAGAGTAACACATATGAAAGCATTTCAATGAATAAACATTCAGAAAATATTAACATTGAATTTACAAGTCTTTCTTGCTGTATAAGGTAAATCTCTCTGCGTGTTATTTGAAAATTTTCTAAGTCCAATTTTCATTTGTTTTTTATGTTACGAAAATTGTGGACAAAACATAAAGGGCATATAGATCTGATAGATAATCTACCATACATTAGATGTGCTAAGCTGTAAAAAAAAGATTACACAGCTGTGTTTGTAACATTTGACTAGACCAAAGGGACAAGGACATTAGCATAGACAAGATTATTCCACATTTGAAATACATAACAGGTACTTAAGTTTTATCTTTTACCTGTTTCAGCTGATTACTACTTATCTGTCTAACATAATGTTTTTCATGTGACAAAACTGAAGAAAAAACTTGCATTTTCTGGGTGGCACATAGACCTCATTTTTCACTAACAACTACCCATTTTGTGAAAATGAGCATTCATATGGGGAGATAAATTCTATGCATGTATTAAAACTTTCCATTGATAAAAGGGATGAAAACATTAAATTTTTAATGCATAAAAGCTTTGATAATGTCAGGGTCTGGTTCATTACCCCTGTAGGTTAAGTACTAGATCTAAACCTAGCCTAATGCTATTCAGGTAGAGCTGTGTTGTGTATTGAATACAACTTGGCCATCTGTCACACCTGCTACAGATTTTGTGTGCAGTCTCAACAATTGACTCATTCACTGGAAAGTTTTGTCAATATAAGAAAATCATTAATGCAACCTCAGTGTAATGTGTCTAGAAACTCACTCCATTAATCAAATATGCAGAAAATTATCCCCATTTCGATTCCCAGGTGTCAAGTACAGCTGGTCAGAAAGGGTTATTCCCCTTTCCACATTGTGCTGCATGGTATTGCTCCAAGGCATTTTCTAAATGATTAGAATTCAGTAATCCTCTTCGGTAAACACAAATGTTGGTATTTATCTGTATAGAGACAACAAAAGGGTTACAGTAAGAATAATGTAGGTATGTTTTTGCAGGTTACTTAACGAGATTTCTCTGTCTTGGTACTGTATCCATGATTACAGCTTTAATCTTTTTACATGTTCTTTGGGTGAAATGTAAATCCTATGTAAATTCAAGGAACAGCTGACAGGGTTTAATGATTAAATGATCTTAATGTCTAGAACTCTGACTCAAGGGTGACCCATATTGTCCCTCCAAATGACCTACATTTTTTAATGGAGGGTATGTAAAATACATTTTCAGGTGTTCTTTTGTTTGTGGAGTAAACAAATTTCCATTATTTGAAGGAAGTTGGTTTAATAAACAACAAAAATAACAGATGTGCAAATAAATGTAGATTTATGGAGACACTTGGTCTGTATTTTGATTGATTTTTTTTTCTTCTAAATTTTCATTTGGTGATTAAATCTTTTAAAGAGCCAACAAAAATTTAAAGCAAAGTCATCCTCTTGTTGAAAAAGGAGTTGGATATGATAGAAAAATTAATGAGGTGTTCTGAAGGCATATGTTATTAAAAAAAAAAAACAGCAAATTTTAGTTTGCTTTTTTTTTAATTCAAAAATATGTTTAAACTTTAATCTAGTTCAATGTAGAGCTCAGACAATCTTAACCAAAATTAAGTTTTTTTCACCAAAATAAGATTATCTCCCTGGTTCTTCAGAGCCTCTGTTTATTTTCCTCTGAGTTGTTGTTTGGGAGGCAAAAATTTTGTATTGTGCACTGAATACATTTATTTCTTAACTGCCTTTACAATACAGAGTCTGCCAAGTCCTAGATTGAAATCTTCAAACTTGATCCTCATGCATAAACAGCCTCTCTACTCGGGGCAGATAAACTTTCACTTTGATAATAATGAGATTCATTGTAACTTGACACAAAGAGATAGAGACATTGTGCCTTGCTGGTATAATGGTGACCTTGGTGGAAAACTTCAAAGGAGGAGGCCTGCAAATTTATGTATGAATCTTCAAAATTGCTAGATTACATTGTGTCGACCAATGAATGGACATAACCTAAGAGACCACAATAGACCTAAGTTCAAATCCCTACCAGGCTGTAATTAACAATCTCCTTAAGTGCTAATTAATGACCGGTGGTTTTATGTTGGAAGTTTACATGTGGAAATGACAGTTGAATAAGTGGTGCTTGGGGGTCTTAAGTATGTAAAATGTAGAATTTAAATTTCAAGTGTGGAAATCAGACAAGCGTTAAATTGTCCATAGAAAAAAAAATTGGGCACAAATTGTACCAATTATATGTATTTTTTGGTACACCTGTATATCTAAGTAGAGATTTGAGGCTGATAGTGCACACCTGCATTGTTGACCCTTGAGGTGTAAACAATCAGAGAAATAACTGTTTAGACTGTGAAATTAAATGATAATAAAGATCCAAATCTCTTGCTTAATTGTCAAGGATAAAGACCAACAAAAGATGTAATTGACAGTTTATTAAAGGGTGGAATTTGAATGTAGGTAGGTTTGGCTCGTTTATGAAGGTCTTTGCGGGCAGTGCTTAATGACATTGCAAGGGGGTTTTAGAGTATTAGGTGGTGGACTTACTTGTTATATATATTAAGCCATCGGGGCCAGGTCAGTTTGTTTTTCCCTGCTGAGTGACATGAGTGAAATCCCCATAACTGTGTTACCAGTACCAAAAACATGAAGATCGAAGGAGAAATGGAACCAGGCAGCAATTTTTGTAGTTCAAACACATAAATTACGAGAGAGTTATAATAACTTATTACCGACTTAAATTTTTTTTTATAGTGTTTTTAAAAGTAAATAATAATAGAATTTCTTGTTGTATTGAATATTAGGAATTTTTCATATTAAGATAAGTATTGTTCCCTAAACTAAAATATATTTTAAATCAGCATGATCAGAAAAATTGCATCAAAAATTTTCATTTGATTTGCTACAATGAGAGGGAAAATCCTATTCTTAATTTCATCCTGTTCATGATCCAAACGACCTCATTTTCTGCCCAGCTACCAAAGTACATAAAAATGATAAAGGGACATCCAGAATAGTCTCAAATCAATCAAGCTGGGTAAACATATGTATCTTTTCCTGAGCTATAAATTTCTGTACTACTTGTAAAAACCTAATGATAGTGGGGGCTATAAGTTGCCAACTCCAGAACAAGAATTCGCTGATCAAGGAGAAATGACCCACTAATCAAGAGGGTTTTTGCCAACCCTCAATTCTGTGGTCTGTCACATAATGCTTGATTTATGGTGTATGTCTCGTGAAAATCAAATGATATATGCCAGGTTTGGTAGGTTTTATTTTCACTGCCCCCATCAGCTGTGTTTCAGAGAAATTTGGGATACCATACTAGTATTATATATGGAACTCTCTTTCATTTGATCATTGTCAATAAATAACAATGCAAGTCAGAGTGTATTGGCTTGTCAAATTGTCTTTGATAAAGCTTGGGAGTTAAAAGTACAAAAAAAAAAATCAATTGAAAATTTAAATGCATTGTTTGAATTTACTTTCTTTCCATGAAAAGTTCAAGGTATTTTCTTAAATCTTTTGTCTACTAAATATATGAGCTGAAAGTGAAATGTAAAGGTTTATTTGGCCACAATATTATTTATGTTAAAAGGTTGTAATGTGTACTTTGTGGAAATGCCCTTTCATGTAGCTTTCATTTTCTTATTGTCTAATTGCAATTGAACAAATAAGCACACTCACACAGGTACTTACTAAATTTCATTAAACAGGCACGGCCTTTTATGATTAGCAGGCTCAGACAAGGAATTTTTTTAATAGGGATTTTTCAATAAAGTTTTTCCTTTTGATGAAATCAGATTTCTCTTCCTTTTTGTAATAAAATTTTGGTTTCAGTCCTGTCATTCTATTATTATTTTGGAAGCCACCCAAACTTGAAAGGGAATCTGTGTAAACATTTATGACACTTATAATTATTGAGATATATAGAAAGTGCTATTTGTTTGAGGTTGAGATCGGCTTTATGAGGTCATCTGATTTGCTCGTCAAAATGCCTCCAGGAATATAAATAAGAAATATGACTTCTTTTCTCTGACGATATTTGATCAGAAGTAGAAATTGATTTGATTAAATTTGACATATTTGGACTGACTGTTCTTGTGGTTTCCATTTCTATTTTTTGACTTTAAAAATATGTCATCATTTGTACTTAACAATTGTACTTATCATACTTCTTTAAGAAAATAATTTACACACATATATCATGTATATGTTAATTGAAAGTTTGAAAGAAAGAAAACTTTATTGTATGAAGTTTTTTCTCCCAATATCTGATTGAAGATCCAGGAGATAGCTGGTGTACTTGTGTTGTATGGAGATTCAATTTCTTTCAACTGATTAAACTTGATAAGGGATTTATTTTAAGAACCAATTTTGTCACTTCTAACGTAGTGATAATAGAGGGATTACCACTATCAGCAGTTCTATGGAGCCTGTGTCAGGGAGATTTTTGCTGACAAATTTAAAATAGATTCAGATGGAAAAATATAATGCATGTATAAATAAGA